CCCGCCGCGTCACTGCTGGTGTGTGGGGGGGGGGCTCGGCTTGGCGCAACATGTCACAATATAAACGATTTACCCAAAACTATAAATGATAAAACTGTACCTATATTATTTCCAGACGACACTAGTTTGTTAGTTAAAAATTCAAACTATGATGATCTCTGTGTAAATATAAATAACGCTTTTCATAGTATAAATGAACGGTTCAAAGTAAACCACCTTTCTATAAATGTTAACAAAACCCACCACATTCAATTTACAGTTAGAAATATTAATCCTAAATCTGAAATAAAAATTGTATATGATAAAAAACAAATTACGTCTATATCAAATATTAAATTTCTTGGAATATTTATTGATGACACAGTGAGCTGGAAATACCACATTGAATATATTAGTTCAAAACTAAGTGCAGTCTGCTACGTAATAAGATCGCTTAAACCATACACATCCATAAATACCTTAAAAATGGTTTATCACTCTTATTTTAATTCTATTATAAATTGTGGTTTACACTTTTGGGGTAACTCACCCCAAAGTATAAAAATTTTTAGAATGCAAAAGAATATAATTAGAATTATGTTGGGACGCAGAAGGAGGGATTCATGCAGAAACTTATTTAGAGAATTAGAAATCTTACCTCAGGCATCTCAGTACACACTATCTCTTATGCTCTTTGTGATAAATAACAAACAAATTCATAGTAAATTCAGAAATTCGTAGAATAAATACCAGACAGCAAAATAATCTCCATCAGTGTCTTGTAAATTTGAGTAAATACCAAAAGAGAGTTTACTGGTTAGGAACAAAGGTCTATAATAATCTGCTACAATATATTAAGGATATATTGAGTGGCACTAAGAGTTTTGAGGTACAATTAAAACAATTTTTATATCTATATTCTTTTTATTCTTTACAGGAATATTTTAGTTATAAATCTTTTTAAGATGAGAGTAGTTGTCTAGCCTTACAATTAAAAGAAGACAAGATTGTCAGTCTCTGTTCTGGTTTTTAGATCCTTATTTTAGATATATACAATCTTTATATTGCTGTATACTAGTCTTTATTTCAATTTATTATATAATTAATGTAATACAAGACTCATTAATGACATTATGTTTTAACTATTGAATTTTTAATTAATAAACTTGTATAAAACTGTACAAATTATATAAGGTTTGCCATTACTTTTACTACTAAAATTAACTTATTTATTATATTGTATATGTTTATTGGTATTTTATTACAAATGTGTGTGCTGTTGGATGACAACTCTAATTCTTAGTTGTGACTGTAACTAGGACGATCTCCACAACCGGATGAGAATGTACTCTCGACAGGATTTATGGAAGGTGAATAAATGAAATGAAATGAAATATGTATGTACATACATAGAGGCCCACAAGATAAACTACTGTGTTTTTAATACTGAATGTACTGTAGATGGAGACGTATTGGCAACTTCAATATTTTACTTCTGTTGTAGAGTATGTTTTAATTATTATGGAGGAATTTGTATTGATGTCTTTGTGAACAGAAATTGAATATGAATTCACAGCTTAAATGTTCCTGTTTTATCCAGTACTGGAAGTTGTACATTCTTATGGCATAGTGTTGGAGGCAGGCTGTTCATTAACAAAAGTTTTTATGTTGTCAGTTATTATGTCCTCAAGCATCCTTGAATTGGAATCTCAAAGTGGTGGTGCTGGAGGGGAGATTATTAATTATCCTCGACGAGAAATATCACTTCCCTCGCAGCCTTCCCATCTGAATGTCAACTGTGATCAGAGTCATCTAGTGGTTGCCATTAAAAGAGATGGTTGTGCTCATGCTCTTATATATAGTCTTCCATCATTTGTAGCGAAGGTAAGTACTGTACTTGCAGAGGTTATTGGGAGTCTCAAAATTACCAAATTCATAGCTTAATTCCCAGCTAGAATGCTCCAGTTAAATCGCTTTTAAAATAGAGTTCTTAAATTTGTCTAGAAAACTCAGGCACAGATTGGAGGATAATATTAGAATGGACCATAAAGGAACAGATTGCAGTGATGGTAGCTTGGATTGAATTGTCTAAGGCAAGGGCCCAATATTTGGGCACTCTCCCTTTGAAGGACTATGTCTTGAGAGGGCACATGTTCAAACTGGGATGTAGTCCCACCTGTGAAGGGTCCATGACAGAGCTGGAACAACTTCACATGTTCTGTGTGAATGATGTTCCATCTGTACCAAGATTTTGTTACCTGGGACTCCATTTAATGGACCCGAGTGTGTATCAGAAGGCTTCATTTGAAGTGCAGAACTGCTGGAGGGATAATCTTAAAATGAGGATTCGTAATAGGTTGTAGATGGTCACGGTGAAAGGATTGTTTAATGTATGTCTCTTTCATTCATTCATTTATTCAGCATTCCGTAAATCCTTACATGGTTAAACACCAATGGATATAGAAATAGTCAACATGAGTAAACATGATCACATACTGCATCACAATTGTGTAATGTCATAACACCCATATAAAAATATTAACAATACACAACAGGAACAAAAAATGTCATTTATAACAATAAAGTGCTATCAACTACCACCTGTAACAAATCCTAAACTTTAATTGTTGTCACAGTTAAAATATTTGTCCAATGAATAAAATGAATTTAAAAATAGGAATCTTTTAACAGCTGACCTAAATTTTTTAATCTCATGAGCTTAGTCTTTTATATTAGGTGGAAGTTTATTAAAAAATTTAATTCCAAAATAATATGTTCCCTTTTGAAAGACAGTTAAATTACATGAGGGATAATGAAGGTTATTACTATGTCTTGTGTTGATTGTATGAATCTCAGAATTAGATAAAAATAATCTTTGTTTTTGACCACAAATAACAAAATGGAAAAAGTGTACTGTGAGTAAAGGGGCAGAATCTTTAGTCTCTTAAACAACTCCCTACAAGAATCTTTACTTCTGGAATTGGTGATGACTCTTATTACCCTCTTCTGTAGTCTAAAAATACGGATGCAGAGGGGCGAATTACCCCAGAAAATTAGGCCATATGTCATAATAGAATGAAAATATGAGAAATATACCAATCTCGTTGATTCTAATGACATATAGGGTTTAATAGCCTTAACTGTGTAGAAAGCTGAACCCAGTTTGGACATGAGCCAGTCAATGTGTCCTTTCCATGACGGTATTATCAATCATCAGACCAAGGAACTTAGTATCAACGGCTGTAGCAATTTGACTGTTACTATAAATGAGAGGTATGTCCATTGCATTACTATTCTTGGTTGGGAAATGCATAAAATACATTTTATTGAGATTCACTGTCAGTAAGTTAGCCTTGAACCATTCATTTATATTTTTGAATATTAAATTTAGTTAATTTTCGTACTCAAAACGATTTAGAGTTCTTAACAATAATACTGGTATCATCCGTGACGTATTTGCGCTATGCAGGACACCCCCTCCCCGCCAGCGGTGACATAACACCTTCGGAGCGTTGCCGCTGCTACGGCAATAGGCCAGTCAACCCCCCCCCCGTGGTGATATGGCCAAAGGATGCCGCGGTTGCCATGCAGCAGCAGTAAACAACTCCTAACAGCGTTTCTAGGCTATCGGCAAACATGGCGTCAGGCAACAGTGGTACCTATCACGTAACTGTTTTCTGTCTTGTCCATGCCGAGGCTAAATAAGGACCAGCGAACACTATTCAGACTTAGTTAGTAGTGTGTGATCAGGAGTGACACAGTTGAAATGTAGCTGTCGCCGGAGACAGTTGAATTGGAACAGTCGCCGAGTTCAGTTGTAGTGGAAAGAAGAATACCGAAACGTGTGATTAGAAGTGATAGTGTGAGAAGCAGATTCTTGGCTCACAAGAGAAGTAATTGGGAGTGTGTAATACAGTGACACTGGTATAGCTCCCATATCATACTGTGAATACGTGTAGACTACTGAGGACAGAGTGGACAGATTATTGTGTAGGGTTATAAATTGTGTAAACCCGTAACAGTGTTATAATTAAATGTAGCCAAGACTTGTAGTTTGTTAAATAAACCAGTTAACAATCTGAATGGCGTGTTCAATGGCAAAACACGCTACAATACATTTTATCGAGATTCAATGTCAGTAAATTAGCCTTGAACCATTCATTTATATTTTTGAATATTAAATTTAGTTAATTTTCATACTCAAAACGATTAGAGTTCTTAACAATAATACTGGTATCATCCGCGAAGAGAATAGGTATTGATTTACTCTTTATAATATTTGGCAGATCATTAATGTATATCAAAAACAA